AGAAATGGAGGGTCAGTGATACATTCTGTCTCGTTAACAGAATAGGGGGGGGGGATGGAGGGTCAGTGAGCCTGGCCTGGGGCCCCCGACTCTGCTTCCCAACAAGGGTGGCCAAGGACAGAACCTGCCGGCAGAGGGGCACCGTGTGACAGAGCCGTCCTTAATCAAAATGCAAGCACAGGAACTGGAGCTCACAAATTAAAGAGGAGAAAATTTACAGGGCGAGAGCTGCGGAGGGAGCCAGCTGTGCTGTCATCCCTCGAGGGCCGTCAGCCTTTCCACAGCCCGCGGGGCTCATGTCAGGGCTGTGTGGAGAGAGGGCAAGTCACAGCCTCCTCAAGGCCAGCCTGGCCCTCCTCCCCCATCTGCATAGGAAACGGGTTTGCAATAGGCAGTGAAACCCCTGGAAAAGGACAGTGCAGAGGCCGACCCCTCCCACCTGAACCCCTGGCTCCCAGCCTCTGCCCAGCTTCCCCCACGGCCCACGTGCACACCCCTCACGAAGGAGAACCCAGGGACAGACTCAGAAGCACTCGCCCGCCCATCGGGGAGCCCTGTGCAAAACCAAGGGCACAGAAACAAAGGCTTCCCCGACAAGGAGAGGCCAGCCTCCGTGACAGCTCCTGCATTTTTCAGAAAACCAGCAGCTGAGTTGAGTAGCAGCACTTTCTAGGGAACCGATGGCTGCGGGAGGCGCTGAGGCCCGAGGCACAGCCACCCCTCCCCCGGGAAGCCTGGAGAGCAGGAGGGGGGGGGGCGTCAGGGCAACCAGGAGCGGAGATCCATGGTCACAGCTCCCGCAGCACAGCCAGACCTGAGCTGTCACCACCTGGCAGGGCCGAGCCTGGGCCTGGGCCAGCTGTCTGACCTTGGGACGTGTAGCTCCCGCACAGGCCCTGTCTGCGTGGGGGCTGCACGGACAAGCACAGCAAGTGTTCAGGACACACATGCTCAGGGCACATGCTCTATGAAGTCAAACTGAGGGCGGGGGGGCAGGGTGTCTGAGTCACAGGTCTGCCCCATTCCGCTGGGTCACCTTGGAAAAACCATGTGACTGCTCAGGGCCACCTTCCTCATCTGAGTAGAAATGGGGTCAACACCACCGGTTCTGTCCACTGAGGTAGCAGGTGTGGGAATGGCCTGACCCAGCCCCAACCCTGACCTTGACCCCAGGGTCAGAGGCTCCTGCAGCTGCTTTCAGCTCTCACCTGTGTCCTGGAAGCCTGTGTTTACCTTCTGGCCTCAGTCAAGAGGGCCCCTGGGGGCCAGCACGGCCGTGCCCGCTCCAGGTGCGCCCCCAGCGAATCCTCGACACCAGCAGCCGGAGGACGACACGAATGAGGCTCCGGTGACCGCCCAGGAGCAGTGCAGCTCGTCCCCTCACAGGAGGAAACAGCCCGGGGAGAGGGTGCGGAGACGAGGCTGGGGGACAATCTCTCCGTCATCACCATGCACTTGACAGTCACATACGACATCGCTGGGAAGCCCCTCTGCAGAGAGAAGCGGGCTGCGAGGCTGTGCACCCCCGCGGGCTCCTCTCCCAGCCGCAGGCCATTCCCGCCCAGCACAGGACACAGCGGCGCCTGCGGGACCCCTGCAAACACACTCACATGTGAGAGGAAGAATCACATGAGAATGACACAGGCATCCACAACAGAAACACGCGTGCTGCTGTGGGAGGAAACGAGTCCCATGTGGGAAGGAGCACTGTGTTGTGTGTGCACCGGATGTGTCACATGTGAGAATCGTGTGTCGTGTGTGGTAGGAACCCACGTGTCACATGGGGAGACACACACGTCTCATTGAGAGGGAGGCCCGTGTTGTGTGAGGCGTGAGGGCCGTTTCCGGCAGCGCAGGGGAGCAGAGGAGGCGTGTGAACACACACACACACACACACACACACCCGCGCTCCTGGCCAGGCTCCGCCCGGGAATGACCCCATCCTGAGGAAACAGGGCCATGGCCAGTGAACGCATTCCATCCTGGCCCGAGGCCTCGGCCAAAGAGCCACCTTCCCCCTGGTGCTGGCGCCAACGCCAACAGACCGAAGCGAGGGCGCTCCTCCTGGGCCCCGCGCCCCCTCGCACGCGCTGTCACCACGGCCACCCAGTGTCCGCATTCCCTCCGCCATCTCCCTGAGAGCGCAGCCCTGAGCAGGATGCATCTGCTCACGTTCTGTGGACCCGGCACACCCACCGCGAGGGGAGCCACCAAGCGCTGGCTGAGCGAACCGATGGAGCCTGTCCCGGCCACGCCGAGCACTTTCCCAGGGCAGCACGGGGACACGCAGGGCAGACGTTCTCGATGCCTGTCCTTGGAACCCGTGTGCAAAGCCGTGAGACCATCCTTCCCGCCACCCTCGCTGGAAACGGACCAGGAGCCGGAGCACAGGCTGAGTTAGTGGCTCAGGGAGGACGCCTGAGGGGCCGAGACAGGAGCCGTGGTCCTGCCGGCAAAGCAGCAGCACCGCCGGCTGGAGGGCAGGGAGAGGCCTCCCAACAGTTGGTCCTTCTGACCCTAAAACCGAGGCTGAACACGGAGCTCTGACACCTGAGCGCCATTTCCCGTGTGACCGTGATGGCTGGGCAGAGGCCCTGCCTCTGACACGGCCCATGTGCGTCCGTGTACCCGTCAAGGACAGCGCTCATCCTCACGTCACGGCCTGCGAGGTGCCGACCGTCCACAGCCTCACCTCTGTTTACCGTGAGGAAATGAAGTCCAGCAAGGGTCGTCCATTTGCTCAAGGTCACAGTCAGTGTCAAGCCGGGAACTGAACCCTGACCTCACGAGTATCCAGCATGCTTTCTTCTAAAGTGGACAGTCCAGCAAACGGGCCCCTCTTGCATGCCCATGGGGTCAGCTGGCCTGTGGCCTCCTCCAGGCGCAGTGGAGAGCGTGCTATGAGCAACAAGAGGTCGTCACTGGCCAGGAGAAGGGCTGATGGCTGATGCTGACCACAGACCCAGGCTGCTTCCCGGTCACTCACACAGTAAGTCCTACGCAGCCACAAGAACGACCACAGCGGTGCCCACGGGACGCATCTGAATTACTAAACTCAACCAGTACCTACAGCTGGATGTTAAAATCCCAATGAAAGTTTTCTTTTGTTCGTGTGGCATTCATTTCCTCAAATGTTGCTTGAAAATCAAGAGCAAAATGGTCACCAAGTCAGAACAGGTTCAGTCATGACAACAGACGCATCTGCAGAAACAGTTACCTGATTGTCGTATTTCAGAGACTGCGTCCCAACCAGAAACCGGATGGCATCCGTCTCTGCCGTCTGCGGGGTCAGCGCACGGGCCTGCGGGAGGAAGGGCGTGCACACCGTTACCACCCTGGGCTTCAGACGGCAACTACCACGCGCTCACCGCCTCCCACTCCCAATGTGTGCACGGAAGGACTGTAAGTGGGCACAGACGTTAAGCAGTGAAGATGCGAGTGTGTTAATAAAGCCGGAATTGTCAACAGCGACAGATTGGTTGAGCAGGTTTTTCTGCAACAGAACAGCAGACAGTGGCTCCAGCACGGCAGAGCAGGCGTGGTAAACCGAGGCTTCTGCAGAGGCGACTGGCAGACCGGCGACAGCCACAGAGCCCAGGGCGGCATGGTCCTGCTCCGAACCTCGCATGGAGCGGGCTGTCCCGGCATCGGGAAACGAGCACTGTTCACGGAGTGGGCCGTGCCCGCGCCCTTCCTCCCAGCGCAGCTGGAACAGGCCTGACCCCACCTCCGCCAGCCCATGGAGTCCTACAGGCTCTCAGGGCCTTGATCCATCCTCTTCAAGGCAGAAATGAGCGAGGCTGACAGCGGTCCTACCACCGAGTCTGGGACAAACCACAAGTCTCTGCCGGAAAAGGTCCGGAGACGACAGGAAACACACGGATCCGTGTTCCCACCTTCCTCCGAAGGCCAATGGCGCAAAAACGTCGACGACTGAGATGCCTCAGTGCCACCAGGCAGACGCGGCGGCGGCGGCACCAAGGGCCAGACGCCGGAGAACAAACCCCTTCCTCCCTCCGACGACTTAAAGGCACCCAGGCTCCACGGCCGGTGCCTGCCCTCCTCGGCAGACGTGGCCGGACAAGTCCTGGAGTCTTAGATTTCTTTGCAAAGCTTATGATTCTTTATGAATCTATAGCTCTTCTGCCAAAAATGTGCATTCACATACACAGAATTTCGTGCGTATCATCAGCAAATTCAGACTCTCTGAACCCTACCCGACCTAAACAGCCCCGGCTCGGAGAAAGCGACTCATGACGAGGGTCCAGGCCATTCCTGAGACACGCCCCACAGCTCACTTGAGGCGGAAGCAGGACAGATGCCCCCCCGTGTGGAGGAGAGGACGACCACGCGCAGCACACTGTGCTCGGGCGTCAGACGCCACCGAGGGGCAGGCCAGGGCGCAGGGCCCACGCGTGGGCGAGGAGGAACCAGGACACACGGGCTTCCTCCTACCCCAGTGACGGCGAACCTTTTGAGCTCGGCGTGTCAGCATTTTGAAAAACCCTAACTTAACTCTGGTGCCGTGTCACATATAGAAATTTTTTGATATTTGCAACCATAGTAAAACAAAGATTTATATTTTTGATATTTATTTTATATATTTAAATGCCATTTAACAAAGAAAAATCAACCAAAAAAATGAGTTCGCGTGTCACCTCTGACACACGTGTGCTGACGGAGCCGAGCACCACCTGAGGAGCAGCAGCCGTAACGTGCAAAACGCAGGTCTGCGCAGACCACGTGTTTCAGGGGAAAGCCGCCTTCGAGAAAACACCACAAACCTGAACCACCTTGTCCTTCTCACACAGGAGACAGCTTTTTAATCGAAGAGGAAAATCATTCTTCTACAAAATCTAAACTGCATCTTTAAAATACAGTGAAACTCATAAAAGTGTAACTTAAGACCTTTCTAGTACATTATTCGGTAAAATTACAAAAATAACTTAATTTTGGTGACAGTGATATCCGTGTCTGTGATGCTGCTTCTTTGATTAACTGAAGATAAAATGGCCTTCCTGCGTGCAGTCATGATGATGGTTCTGATATATTTAAATGCCATTTAACAAAGAAAAATCAACCAAAAAAATGAGTTCGCGTGTCACCTCTGACACACGTGTGCTGACGGAGCCGAGCACCACCTGAGGAGCAGCAGCCGTAACGTGCAAAACGCAGGTCTGCGCAGACCACGTGTTTCAGGGGAAAGCGCCTTGAGAAAACACCACAAACCTGAACCACCTTGTCCTTCTCACACAGGAGACAGCTTTTTAATCGAAGAGGAAAATCATTCTTCTACAAAATCTAAACTGCATCTTTAAAATACAGTGAAATCTCATAAAAGTGTAACTTAAGACCTTTCTAGTACATTACTGGGTAAAATTACAAAAATAACTTAACTCTGGCCATTTTGGTGACAGAGTGATATCCGTGTCTGTGATGCTGCTTCTTTGATTAACTGAAGATAAAATGGCCTTCCTGCGTGCAGTCATGATGATGGTTCTGAGGCGTTCCAGTGACCCTAACACAGTAAGGCTGAAATTTCATAGTGTAATAGGTCACCAAGAATGTCCCTGTACTTTATCTTGGCTCATCCTCACACTTCGACGAAGCAGACAGGAAGACAGGATGGATATTACTCCGCACAGAAGACAAAGACCCTGAGGACCAGGGAGGGTAACCGACTTACCAGTCACACAGCTTAGAGACAGGAACCCAGACTCCCAGCCTAAGGCCAGTTCTCTTTCTATTACAGTAAGCAGGGAGCTGGTAGCAGAGTAAGACATTTGTCTATTTGGTTATGTTGGACCACAGGCCACTTTATTATAATTCCACTAGACCAGTGATGGCGAACCTATGACACGCGTGTCAGAGCTGACACACGAACTCATTTTTTTGGTTGATTTTTCTTTGTTAAATGGCATTTAAATATA